GGGTCTTGAACCAATGTAATATTACACTTTTGTGAGGTGAAAGAGGCAAAAAAGGGTGGCCTTGGTCAAGAAAGGCTGTATGGTGTGCAGAGGCCACAAAGAATGGATAATATTTTCCAAGTATTGCAGCATTGAAGAGGCACAGGGCTTTACACAGGAAGTAAATGGAGGTGGGGGAAGAAGAGGAGGAAGAGGAAACATAGCAGGAAGTTGGAACAGGACCCATATTTGGAAGACAGCTCAGCAGATGCCCCTGTTTTTAAAAATATTTTTGACATAATGATGAACCCAGCCTTTGTTGATGATAACTAATTTCCCTTTTTATTTTAAGCATAATGATCAGTAATAACAGATACAGTGGAATCCAGATAAAGTCAACTCTTGCTTACAGTCAACACCTCACTGTGGTCCCGTTTTTACTCTCTTTGTTTAAGTACATATGTACATGTAATTGTGTTTCTGATACATGTACAGTCAACCACTTGAGTGTTAACCTTGCGTAAAGTCAACAATTTGGGGCTAAATCCCAAGATGAATTCAGTTAAAAAGATATATTTAGGTCCGGAGCTAGTGGTGTACACTCCTCCAATTACTTTGTTCACTCATTATTTCTTGTTTTGGTGACAACTTCAGAATTATACTCACTGAAATTTAGCTAAAATTTTGTTACAAGGTACTTTGTGATTTTGTAGCTGTCATCTTCAATTTTCAATGGCGAGTAGTACATGTACTGGTCCCATCTCACTTTGATTACCCTGCCAAACAAGTCAGCCTTCGCCCCTGAGGATAATCAAAGTAAGATGGGACCAGATAGGGCCTGGGGATACAGATCTATCACACTCGAATCCTACTCGAGGCGGCATCACTGAGTTGTGAATGAAAACAAAATTCCTGAATTCATGTTGTATGCATGTTCAACCGCTAAAATAATCGGGAAAGTATCTCATTAAATATTTATTTCAACAAACATTAAATTTATCTTTGGATGTGAATACTCCAACACAA